CCTTCAAGACCTTTGATTATTATATCATTGCATAGTAAGTTAACATTTCTTACTTTTCTTTCTTTTCTAAACCTACCATTCATTATTATATCATTATATTCCTCTACACTAACAACATTTAGCCTACATCCAAAGAACTTGAAAAGTCTTGAGTTAGTTCTTTTAAGAACTTTGCAAGAGAGAAATGAGTGGGAAAAAAAGGCTAAATGAGATGTGAGAACAAAAGAGGAATCGCAAAAGCCAATTTATATTCCTGATTTTAAGCACGAGTGTTGAGTGGAGAGTCGTCAAATTTTGTTTGGAATGACCATGAGAATTTATTTTGTGAATATTGGTAATGTCCTATATCAAATTTCAATTTCCTTAATCACTAATCATGTCACTTGATGTTGCATATTCTCAATCAATGGAGTACGACAACAAGGGAAAGTTCGTTTCACACGAGATGCCATGTAGATGGTAAAGTTTTTCATGTGATCATTGATAGTGAAAGTTGTACCAACCTTGCTAGTACACTCATGGTGCACAAATTGGGCTTAAAAATGATCCATCATACATAACCAAATGAAGTGTAATGGATTAATGACAATAACATTGTTATTACTTAAGAAGTGTTAGTCCCATTTTCCATTAGCAAGTATGAGGATGAAGTTCTTTGTGATGTAGTCCCAATGAGCACAACTCATTTGCTACTTGGAAGACTGTGGTAATTCGATAAAAGGGCCACTCATGATGGTTCTTAAATCATTATTCATTCATCCACGGTAGAATAAGAGTCACGTTAGCACCATTACCATCACACCAAGTGATTCAAGATCAACAACACTTAAAGAAGAGCTTTGATGCTATGCAAGAAGAGCATTGTGAGAAAAAAAGGCATATGGAGTTGAAATAGAGATTTTATGTGAGAAAATCATAGGACTGATTGAAAATGAAAATGAAAGCATTGAAAAGATTGAGAGAAGATGAGCATATTGAAAAAAATGAGTTTGAGAGTGAAGAAAGCATTCAACAAAACAATAGTGTAAAGAGATAATTCAAGAAGAGTGTGAAGGTATTATTAAAAAAGAATGTTAGATTGATGACAAAATTCAAAACAAACATGAGCATGAGAGAAAAGAATGTGAGGAGAAGGAAGATTTTCTTTCTACTAATCATTTTTTTATTCGTTCTTTGAGTTTACTGGTTATTCCAAGAGACATACAAGATGATCCAAGCATTCCAAAAGACGTGTCACTTGAAATTTCAAAGAACATGTTCATTACCTTCAAAGTAGATTCACCTCATATCCGAGATTCAATGAACTTTGATAAAGGGAAGTTTCAATGAACCTAACCATGAAGAATCTCAAGAGTCAAATTTCATTCATTACCGAATTTGATACTTTCAATTTATTTAGTTATCTACTACTAAATTTTCTTTATTTTTCAGAAAGATAATTCAAAAGAAAATGAATGAGCGAGTTAAGCATTTTGAGCATAGAGAGTGGTGCAGAACTATAATGAAAGGATTCCCAACCCAAAGAAGATCAAGCATCAATTTGGGGATAAATAACCTTAAAAAAAGGGGATGATATGATCCTACCAAGCACCAAATTCAAATCGAACAAGCTCACAACTTTAAAGTTTTTCCAAGTTCAATCTGATGGAGTTCTTCCTTATGTCATTTCTTATTTTCTTATTTATGCATTACATATAACATGAATATCCTTTAGACTATTCTTGAGTATTATATGCTATCATTTATTGTATAATATATGATATTCATGCATAACTTATTAAATCATATCTTTACTTAGCTTAATTCATGCATATGTTATGTTACACATTCGGTACTTATGATATCATATCATTTGCATTATCACATTAGGCATGGAATCATGTTTGCATTAGAATGTTACTTATTTTATTAAATGTTACATATCAATAACTTGTGCATATGTGACTTATATAAATATGTGTTATATGCAAGTTACAATTCAAGGCAATCCAAGGGACAATTCACGTTAGTTAGATTGATCACCAAATTTCAACAGGTTCTAAGCATTTTTGGGTTACAAAGTCTTCTTGACATATAATCCCTTAACTCTTATCTTTCCAACTCACTTTTAATCGCATCAATATAACATTGAGAGAATGAAATATGCCCAAATTACCAAAGATAGTGCAAGGTGGAAATTTATGTAGGATTTAAAACTATTCAACACCTTCCTTGAAATTATGAATGGATGGCCTTGATGAAGAGATGCATGGACCAGAAGTGGCTATTCAAAGGAAAAACCATTCAACATATTTATGACAATGAATCCATTAAATTCAAAGCATGTATAATCATCCAAACAAGTGCATGTAAGAAACTGAACCATGACGTTCACACATGGAGGCCAAGTACATGAAAGGAATCAAATGATCATGTCACAACACCCGTCAATGAAACCTTATAAGGTCTTGGTCTCAACTTTATATAGCTTCGGTTCTTTCTTGGAGATTTTGAGATACTATCTTCAAATTCCATTACAATCACCACCACCTTCATTCTACTTCCACCACCATACTTCAACATATCCTTTCAAACATATCATCATCTTTATCTATATCTTTCAAAGCCAACTCTTTATTTTCTTTTCATTTCATTCATTATAGCCATTCTCTCTGAGCCATCTTACTTGTGCAGGGATCCATGTTGTCTTCCTATATCAAAACAATATAAAGGCATCCATGTCTTCATCAAGAATCAAAGTGAATGTAGGGCGACCTATGTCACTATTGCTAGAATTACATTGGTTGGATGAAAAGAACATTCAGTGTTGTGTGAGGCTTCCAAACGATCAATCTATATGTTACCTTCTTGCTCCAATCTTTAAGGATGTTGAAGGCGTGATGGACACAAAATCTGGGATCTCATTAACATTTGTGTTACGATTCCAAAACCTTTTGCAAGATCAAGGAAAAGTTTCACGTAGATGCCAAAGCCTTTTACATATTAATACATGTTGGAAAAAAATTAGATCCCGACATGACCAAATTTGGAACATGTTGATTTGCATACAATCCTTGGTATAGGATTATGTTGTTTCGCGTGATAAGGTGCAGCTGCAAGATAACAAAAATATATTTCTCTTTTAACTAATAGTGATTTAGTTGAATGAAGATAATATGTTGATCAAGAAATTCAAAACAGTAGGTGCAACTTCTATTTAGTTTACTAAATTCTCATCGTTAGTAGAAGTTGATTATATTTCATATTTTTAGTATTAACTAAATTTCTAACGTCTAACAAAATTTAATTGATCTCTTTAAACAATTGTATTCCATAATTTTAATCCTATCATCCAACAAAATTTGTTATATTTATTATTTATAACAAAAAATGTTTGGAAGTAACAACTCATTTACTATATTTTGTTTCACAATTTTAGTTTCTAACTAAATTTAGACGTTAACAGAATCAGATGGTAGAATGAATCAGAATTTATTTTCAATTTATTATTGGAATTATTATTAATTCTGATTAAGTGTCTTAAACGAAATAATAGGTAACTCCACTTATTCATTCAACTCGTAATTTGTACGATTGATTCCTACTTATGCTTTGAATTAAATTCAACAGTGTTGGTAGTCATAAGGCACAATAAGAAACCTATAAAATTCTACGGGCATAATTTTAAGAAATGAAAACATAAGTTGTTCTTTTGTTTGACCATGTTGAACCTATACAATTCATTCAGATGTAAACGTTGTTATTATTTTCACTGTCGTTGAAACTCGAGAGAATTCTGACTTCCTATGCCAAAATTATATATTGAATGGATTGTTGGATACAATGTATGAAGTGTATAATATCCATAAGATGACTAAAAAATTATAGATGACATTAGATCATAAATACAAAACAGAATATAATGGCGCTAAAATAATTTTTAGGGACTAAGTTCTTAAAATTTATTAATGGTAACACAAATTATTGATATGTATATTTTTTAAAATAAAAAATGAAGATATAGAAAAAATTATTCTCCACGAGTAGGAAGTCGAATCCCAACTTAACAAAAATATTAAGAGGGTGAGAAGTGATTGTGGTGGTGAACACGTTAAACGATTTGGTTAATATTGTGCACAAGATGATTTTATTAATAAAGTAATATCATCATTCTCTCAATTAAATGGAGTAGCAAAAATAGAATAATAGAAATTTAAAATAAATTATCAACATCATGCTATGAAGTTTTGGGTTGTCTCAGAACATGTGGAGGAAAACTGGTGTTTTACAAGAAAAAGACAAGACACCATATAAGTTATGGAAAGCTTTAAAACCTTCTCACAACTACATGTTAGTGTGGAGTGTCTTGTATAATGTATAATAGTAAGTCGAGACATTTGCGTCATCAAAACAATACCATTACACAAGTAATCTTAATTGAAGTTATCTTTGTTGATTTTATAAAATAAAAATAATATATTGCAAATAGGCTAACCAAAGGGTTGAACCGATATTAGGTTGATAAAACATAAAGAGAAATGTGACCAATTCCTATGGATTGTTCAGGCTCTATGTGAAGAAAAATCTAACATAGTTGACTAAATATCCCAAGATCTAGGTTCAATAAGACATCCTACTTCCATATATTTTGTGATGTAATGTCCCAAAATTTCATTATGGACTAAATTGGTAAATTAAAATTTATTTCGAGGACAATTAAGACAATTTCTATGTGTTGAGGGATTAAATTTAAAGTATCAGAAGAAGAATTGAATCTTACAATTTAGTTTGTTAGAGATTAGTAACTAAATTGAAATAAATGAATTACACATCTTTAAGGTGAAAATAAGGAAAGAGTGAGACTCTTTAATATATTAATTATCCCCAAAAGTTGTAAGATATTTTTACTTGGTGATTATGAATCACTAGATTGGATGGAGGTTTTCCATCTTCAATTTAGACCATTGAATCTAAATAAATTGTGTGGCTGTAGTTTTGTTATAAAATTAGTTATATACGGAAATAAAGAGATGAAAAAGATAAAAGGATTATATTCTTCTTCTTCCGTAAGAAAACATGTGAAAGAGATGCAATGTAGGTTCTCTCTCTCTTCTTCATTTCCTTAATTTCTAGTTAGATATGATGTTATCTTGTGAGAGATAAAAATGTTCATCTCCTTATTTCCTTCAAGTTGAATATAAGAATGAAGATATTGAATGAGTTACGTTTAAACCCTAATATTGTCCATGAAAGTTCTAGTGATAATTTATGAGTTTAGATATTTTGATAGAATGAAGAGTGATGAGTATTTTATTATACCTCTAAGGTTGTACTTTCTTAATACAAGTAAAGAAATCAAGTTATGAGACAGGTAAATCTTAGAGGTTAGAGAAAAAAGGCAAGAGACTCCATGCTTCTCTAATTATTCATGTCATATCTTTGTGTTTTAAGGATGTTAGAGTATATTTAGTGACATTAGGTTGATTTAGTATAAAGAGTATTATGAAAGATCAAAAGGAAGAGGAGAAAGGTGATTCTTTCGAGGGAAATGTGTAAGATCTATAGTAAAGGTATTGGAAGTTTCCTTGAGGTGAGTACCCCTCGAACTCTAAATTTTTTCATGATTTTCATAATCTCAATAATTTGCATGTCATATATAAACACTCAATTTAAGGTTTAGGTAGTAATTCCTAAGAGCCTTATTTGATGATAAATTGATTAGGTAGAACTATTATGAGCATGCTTAGTTTAACTGTTACATGATGATTTCACTTTTGGAATTATGAGTTAGGAATCATATTTTCGATTGAAAATAGATTTCAGGTTGGAAATTAGATATCAGGTTAGAAATCAAATTTTAGGTTGGAACCTAGATTTCATGTTGGAAATCAAATTTCAGGGTGGAAAATAGATTTTAGGTTCAAAACCAGATTTCAGGTTGGAAATCAGATTTCAAGTTGGAAATCATATTTCAGGTTGCAAACCAGATTTCAGGTTAAGAACTAGATCTTTTAGGGTAAGTATGTTAGAGTTTATTGTGGGAACTATGTGACAAATTTAACTTGTGTAAGTATATGATAAATTCCCTGCTACAGATATATGTTAAATTTGACTGGTGTAAACCTGTTTAAGTTAGTGTTGGGATTACGTGCTACTCTTATTGATGTAATATATGACATCTCTTAATTGGTTATATGTCAAGAATAATACAAGATAAATGGATAATAATACTAGTTAAGAATAACAATGATTGAAGAACCCTCTATGTTGAAAGATTTAAAATACCCTATGGGTAGTAAATGTTTTATGGACTTTATAAATGAATAAAATATGTATTTTGTGATGCATAAATTATTTTCATGTTGCATGATTTGGTGCAAAATATTGGGAAGGCTAAGGCAAGTCGACTCACTCTTTATTACGATGATGCATGATGATATGGAGGCTTAAGGTAAGTTATCCTGATTATTCTTATTGATGGTTGATTATACTGAGGTGAGTGCATTGCATGCATTTTGATATTGTTATTGCCAAAGTAAACTAGTTAGAGGTTCTTGGTACAATGGCATGCCTAGAATTGAGTAGTTGCGTCTTGGTCTCTCGAGATTGTTAACCGTAGCAGAGAAACTCTGTGGTGGTGTTGACACTTCGATATGTTTGGACCTACGGATTCATAACACTTCAGTGCATTTGGACCATCGGGTTCGTCTAATATAGAGGATCAATTCCGCATTAGTATAACATTGGCCCACCTTATCTAGATAATATTTCATGATGATACATGTTCTTATTATTAATGATTATATGCATGATGATAGATGTGCTTATTATTAATGATTATATGCTTGATATACATGCGGTTGCTAATAATGATTATATACATGATATATATGCACCTTCTAATAATGGTTATATGCATGATATACATGCTCTTTCTAATAATGAATATATGCATGATATACATCCGCCTGGTAATAATGGTCATATGCATGATATACCTGTGCTTGATGTTGATGATTAAATGCATGATATACATGTGCTTGTTGCTAATGATTATATGCATGATATTCACGTGCTTGTGAATAATGATTATAAGCATGATCTTTTACCCATGTTGATGATAGAACTAAATACTTTATTCGGGATAAGACAATTGTTGGATAAATACATAATGAAGAAACTAATATGATGGAACTACTTCATTAAATTAAAGGAATATCCTAGATTGGACAATTACCATACCTACTACATAATGAAGTTAGAGTTACTAAGATTACAAATATGATAGGACGAGTAGGGTAATTTGATGAGAAAAGACATGATATCCTTTAAAACTTGGGGAAGTATAATGAACCTGACTTATAATGATAAGACTATGAGAATCATTGATTAATGGCTTAAGTTCATAAATGGCTAGCATGTTGACTTTATGTGACTCATGAAATGTAGTAGGGTCAATGTGTACTCATTGGACTTAATAGCTCACCCTTTTAATTATTACCTCTACAGGTTCAGGTTTTGAGGATCACAATGGGGCAACGATGTCATCAGAGGAGTCTCAGTGGAAGTACCAGAATACAACGATGAAGACTTAAGTGAGAATGTAAAGATTATGATTTTATTCGAGTTTGTTGCAATTTTTTTATTTAAGTATTTTGGTTTTCAAATAAAGGAGCTCCACATTTTATAAATGCTTATTTTTTTTATATTCCACATTATTGGATTTTAACTTTTAAGTAAATTGTATTTTTCTAAGTCTTGATTTGTAGGATCACTTTGGTGGTCCAATGTGACATCGTTGATTCGGATTTGATTTCCCAGTTCGGTTGGGGGTGTTAGATTTAACGGTGTCAAAGCTAGAGTTTAGTCGGTTCTAGGTTAACCTGGTCGATTCCTATATGCCCTCAAAGGTTTTAATTTGTATTCATAGACTGAGACTGATGTCATTCGTACATCATTGACTAGTAAGTTAATATGTTAGTTTGGTTCAAAACTTGATAAAAGTGGTATTTTTATATCAAAACGAGAAAATAGCAATTGAGTGCATAATGGAAACCTTGAAGCAGCAATAGTTGATTCCAAAGAGTAGGAGTTGATCTTGACATCTTTTTATGATCGATGTCGTGAATTAGAAATAGACATGTAAGTTCTTTCCCCAACCTAGGTTTTGAGTATCAGAGTGCAGAGCGAAGGTGAAGCTTCCACATCGGCGTGAAAATTATGAAGGATGAGTTTTAGGGTTCCCTATGGATCGCATCTAGTTAATCGAATTAGTATGAAAGGAAGTCGATTTTTAATCCCTTAAGTCGATGCTTATAAAGGTATGTTGATTAGTTGTATTTGTTATTAAGAGTTTATTCTCCAATATGACACCTATTAATAAAAGGGTCCTTGTCATATCTTAGAGGTCGGGCGTTATGATAAATTCTCTCATATTTTTTTAGATAAAATATTTCACTGTGATCTCGTCATGGTGATGGATGATTCCATTGATGACGTTTCCATAAGCTCTTAATTTCGAACGTTCAATTAGGAATTTCCTCATATTCAATGAGTGAAAGCCTTCTCACCATTGGCAATTTCTTACCCGCAATTCTGAAATGATGTTCGTAATCAATGCAATTGATCTTTTACTTGCTTTGACAAATGAATTCCATCTAGCCTTGTTAAATGAATACCTCTCATTTTCAAAAATAATATTACGTATTTGAATATCTCTTGGTGGTAAGTAGTCGTGTTCATTTGGGAAAAAATATAGATTGTGCTCTTACAAGAGTTGTTATTGTGGTGAGTTAAGTTTTTGTTAAAAGGGGCTCACTAGTCCGAGATTGGGTTACTTTAAATGTCTGAACGTTCATATTTATGAAAGTGAATTCTACAAATTATGTTGCAAGAATACCTCCGATGCCCTGTTGGATTCCTCGAACTCGAGTTTATACGAATTTGATGTATTTAGACAAGTTAGCCAAATTCTGATCTTATGTGATTTGATGAACTCTTTCTTCTGATCTTCAAGATGATCTTTCTTAACCAGTTTTTGATTAAGTTTGATGATAAAATTAGGCTTCAAAGCTATTTATCATATTCTTGTGAGAACCTATGATGTGACAACTCGTGGAAACTTTCAAAGAGAGAAATCATTCGATCCAAGATGATGATGGCTCAAGATTATTAAAACTCATGTTTATGAATTCGAGTTTTGTACCCTATAGGTTGTGAATTCTTTGAGTTATAAATTAAATTCACATCCATTTTATGTTGAGTCCTAGTTGATTTGAGTATGATAGGAACTCTATCTGCATTGGCACATGTGCCCTTGTTAAAATATTGTTCGGTCTGTGTTTGAATTGACATTCGATTGTGTCCTCATTGCTACCTCCATGGTATCCTTATTCAAAACTCGGATATCGATGAGCAAGTTGGAAGAGTGGTCTTTGTAAATCAAAGATCACATTTATCTCAGTCTAACAAATTCTAAGTAGAATCTACGATCCTTCGTAAATTCTTGAAATTTTGTCACGAACAAAAAAATACTTAGATTTCTCGTGACTCTATCGCTGTGATTCTTTGGTGATTCGCTTGATACTTGAATATATTTCACTTAACTATGAGTTCTTAAAAAGGGATACTCATTTTGTTCGATGACCTTATTGAAATGTGGGGTTTAGGAAAAAATTACTTTCAATTCGTAAATAGGACTGCTGCTCTCGAATATTATTAAATTCGATCGATGTGATGCGACTTATAGTGATGAGATAGAGTTATTAGCATTCAACATGATACCAATAAACTTTTAGTTCGTGTTGTGTGAAGGAAACTAATGATGTGAAATTACAACTATGTTTACGTTTATTCAAATCTGGTGCAAAATTCAAGGACGAATATTTTTTAGGGGTAGAGTTGTAACGGCCCAAAAATTCATTAAAGACTAAATTGGTAAATAAAAAAATTATTTCGATTAGAGGGGATCACCAGGTGAGTACATTTATTGTAATTATTTGAGATGAATAATATTCATACTGCTTCAAATTAGAATGTTTAAATTAATGTATGTTTTATAGTATTGACTATGCCATAACTAAAATGCATGAACGGATGCAATAAGGCATAAAAGGATGTCATAACTAAAATGCATGAACTGATACATTAAGGCATGAAAGGATTCCATAACTAAAATGCATACACAACATTAAGACATGAAAGGATGCCATAACTAAAATGCATGAACGAATGCATTAAGGCATGAAAGGATGCTATAACTAAAATGCATGAACGGGTGCATTAAGGCATGAAAGGATGCCATAACGAAAATGCATGAACGGATGCATTATGGCATGAAATGATGCTATAACTAAAAATGCATGAACGGATGCATAAAGGCATGAAAGGATGCCATAACTAAAATGCATGAACATATGTATTAAGGTCTAAAAAGAGGCCATAACTGAAATTTACAAATGGTTACTAAAGAAAAATGAAAAGAAAGAAAAGTATGTTGGACATACTAAGGATGTGTATGCTGATAGTATAAAAGAAGTTGGTTTCAATAAGAGGGACTTATCTAATCCTTTGGATGTTACGAATTAGTTTGAAATCAAATAACCATGAGATAATGATGTATACCTTAATGTTTGTTACAATATTATGTCTCACTAAGTAAATGCTTAACGTGTGTTATTTCCACGCGTAAGTAAAAGCAGAGATTAACTGAGTAAGGAGTGCAACTATAGCAGCGGTGATCATCAATTAAGGTTGACTCATCAGTGACACTAGGACAATCTAGTTTACTTTGGAAAAACTTATTTGGCATGTAATTAAAGAGTTAAAAATGCTCTAAATTTTAGTTAAGTCGAACTTTATAACAGATTTCAATCTATATTTTGCTTTATATAAAAATGTTATGTTTTCAGAAATAAGAAAAACAAAATTTTATGGATTTTCAAATGAGGAACTGTTTTAAAGGTGATGTGACATCTGTATCTCATGTACGGAAACGTATATGGGAGATGGGTGTTACACTTACAAGGGAGAAATGTAAGATCTTTAGTGAAGGTATTAGATGCTTGCTTGAGGTGAGTGCCCCTCAAACTCCAAATTGTTTCATGATTTTCATAATCACGATGTCTTGCATGTCTTACATGGACACTCGATTTAAGGTTTGGGTAGTAATTCCTAATAGCCTTATTTTGACGATAAATTGATTAGGTATAACTATTATGAGCAAGCTTAGTTTACCTTGTTATATTATGATTTCACGCTTAGAATTATATTTTAGGAACCATATTTCTGATTGAAAACTAATTTCAAGTTGGAAAATAGATTTCAGGTTAGAAAACAGATTTCATGTTGGAAAACAAATTTTTGGTTCAAAACCAGATATTAGGTTGGAAACTAGATTTCAGGTTGAAAATCATATTTTAGGTTGGAAACTAGATTAAAGTTTGGCCCACGTCATCTAGATAAATCCCTATTAGAGTTTACTTCAGGTGTCCTTGATAATATTTCATGATGATACATGCGCTTATTGTTAATGAATATATGCATGATATACACATGCTTGCTAATAATGATTATATACATGCTACACATGTGCCTGCTAATAATGATTATATGAATGATATACATATTGCTAATAATGATTATATGCATGATATACATTTTCCTGCTAATAATGGTCATATGCATGATATACCTACGCTTGACACTGATGATTACATGCATGGTATACATGTGCTTGTTCCTAATGATTATATAAATGATATTCATGTGCTTACGAATAATGATTATAAGCATGATTTTTACCCATGTTGATGATAGAACTAAATACATTATTCGAGATAAGACAATTGTCAGATAAATACATGATGAAGAGTCTAATATGATTGAACTACTTCATTGAATTAGATGAATATCCTAGGTCGGATAATTATTATTCCTACTGCATAATGAACTTAGAGTTACAAAGATCATGAATATGATAAGACGGGTAAGGTAATTTGATAAGAAAAGACATGGTATCCTTTAGACATTGGGTGTAACAACTTAATCCGATACGACACACAATCGATCTATTAGAACATCACAGGGACCATTAGAGCGGTAACCCAAAAAAATTTCTTTTAAAATTGTCCATAATATAATAATAACAACAATTTAAAAGCATGAAACCAAACAAAAGATATAGTAGTTTACAATGTTGGGGAGCTCCCAAAATAAATGTATTAAATAGAATAGTTGAGTATTTAAAAAAGTATTACTTATGTATAAGAGGTCTATGGATAATACTAGCCCCTAAACAAAAGACTCAAGACATACTGTAAGTTTCTCGATTGTCTGAAACGTCTATAACACGATCAACTCCTCGAATGCTCCACCTAAAGGCCTACGAACGAAAACACAATTGAACGTTGAGCTCACTAGCCTAGTGCCACACTGACAATAATGCCATACTAAAAGTGTTCATAAATGCTCATCCTAGCTTAAAAGATAACTAAAGTGAGTATGCATGCATACTCACGCTATGGCTAGGGTAGACATCATGGTACGACTAAGGGATTACTGCATCTCAGAGCTCACGTACACCTCTAGTCTACAAGGGATGTGAACCCATAATTTCTACATCGGATTCGACACCCAACTAACTTATCATTTATGAGTATTGAGTACTTGTGTCATAGTTAGTCTTAAGTGCCTTGTGCACTACCTAAGGATATCCAAACAATCTATACTTCGTAACTAACATCATTTACTAATCTAACTCGA